CCGCAGGGCATGGTGAGGGGCCTGTCCCTTCCGCAGTCCATTTGTTTTTTTTTTAAGAATATTATTTTTTAATCCATTTTTAATACTATTTTTATTTCTGAAGTGTGCCGCAGCCCCAGGCCGCTGCATCCCCAGTTAATGCATTCCCTGCCTTTTTATGGAAGTTTTACCGGGAGCAGGCGCCCGGCGATTCCTCGGCACCGGCTCTTCCGCGGGTTTCTCCGCGGACAGAGCCGCGGTTTATGGGGCACTTCGCTTCCCTCCCTCCCTGCCGTCGTTAGCGTGGAAACGAGCGCATCTATAATTAAAACGTAAACCTCCGCGGGGGTAATAACAGCTGCTAAATTTTTCCCACAGTGAATGCCTGAAGTAAAAATGAAAACAGCATTACAGTTGGAGAACACTTAATTATAAATAGTAAAATTAGTTTGGAAATGAAAGGCAAAAAAAAAAAAAGCGCTTTTGTTACAAGGCAGCGTTCAATACTAGGAATGGCTGGATTCATTCGGATGAGAGGTAATCAGTCCCTAGTCAAAGGGAGAGCTAATCCTGTTAAATAATTGTAGCGTCCTAAATCCACATGAATTTGACATATTCCAGCAATAGTGACTTTGAGTGCGTGTCTCTTTCTACGAAGTTCTGCCTTTCCTGGCTATTTGATCCTGAGGTGCTCTGGTGCTTTGTAATTATATGACAAAGATAGAACGAAGAGAATGTTATTTTCAAGTAGCTCTCTACCATGTATTGGCGTAGAAAACCAAAAACCTAGGGCTGAGAAATGTGGATCTCATAAATCACTTCAGCTGACAGTAAAAGTGCAGAGAAAACTTTAAGTGGTTTGTACGAAAAACTACTCTGATATTTTTCAATTATTTGCAACACAAAATAAGCATCATTTTTAGTCAAGCTTTTTTTAGTCAATGCTTTTTAGAAACTGAAATTTAGCATTACAGAACTACCATATATATTTTGCATAGTGCTCTGTTATTCCTAACATCTCACCCGTCTATAAAGTAAATATATATATATATATTTTTTTTTTTTCTCAGCTCTGCCCTGCCTACACACTCACCTCCATTAAATGCCAGGTGACGTTAAGAGCCAGCTCCCTCCGGCGGCGAACTTCACCCTCGCACTGCAAACCACACCGCACTTCTGGAGTCCTTTCAACCTACAAGAAAACAAAGGTATTTTGAATTCTTCTACTATAGAAATACAATCATATGTGTATGGATTGATGCCACCTCAGGAGCCATTTCAAGCTAATTGCTGCTGCCATCTCCTAGTTCCTCAGGCACTATGACACTCTTGAGCTTTATGGGGTACCAAGTTTTAGGAAACGAGCTGGGTGGCCTGTGGGCTTTGCTGGATATGTTGTGAGAAACTTCTTTTTCTTTGGTTGGTTTGTTTGTAATACTGAGCTATATATGCATGCTATTATTTCTTAAATGATCTCTTTTCTTTTGTGTGATGATACGATATATTTGAAACATTTCAAGAGTGTTGTGGGTTGGTTGGAACTTAACTATAAACCAATAGATTTAAGTTCGGTATATTTACAACTGCAAATTAAGCGCATTTCCCTGCCCCAAACAAAGCAAGTGTAAAGCGGGTGGGAATTTTGTTTTCACAAATAGGTGTCCCTGAAAACGGCTTACGCAAAAAAAATGAACAAAAAATATAAGTGAAGCAGTGTAATCCCTAAGATTACTCCTTTTTTCACAAACTTGTTTACTATGCACTTTAATTGTATCACTAAATTAACCAGATTTTAAAAATCCGATTAAGCATATTTTACTGCCAAGATATACACACAAATCTGTAAGATTTAATACTTCTCTATTTATTGCTTAGAAGAGGAATTAAAGAAAATAATTAATCACATAAGCAATGGAATTTAAGAAGCCTAATATAAGTTTGACTAAAATTGGCCACCAATTTTGTTAGCACTAACGGGGCTGACAGTTAGATGGACACATAAACAAGCAGAGATCACAGCCTTATATATGCTGTTTTCCTCAAGATACAGGGATTGAAATACCTACTGTGGATCAGAAATATAGATATATATGTATACTAAAACATAAAAAATGTATTAATGTTTAATTTGACTGTGTAATATAAAATTTAGATTAGATTAACAAGGTATAAATCACAGATATCTGTCAACATTGCTAAACTTGTCATCTCCCACTGACACAGCTACGCTGGCACCGACACAGCCTGTTTTGCATGGGGATTATTGGATGGGGATTGGTTTTATTATACAAACAAGTTTACAAACACATTACTGAGTGGGTTTTGCAGAACAGGTTGCACTCCTGTAGCACTAAACTTCTCCAAATGTAGAAGTTCTCAGTCCTCCATTTTACCAATTTCCTCTGACCTATGTGAAGTGTAGGATAAAACAGGAAATGAGACAAAGTATTAGTTTTCTGCAGTTTTTCTCATAAAATAACATTATTAAATACAGAAGCATGCAAATAATACATCTGTTTCACCTAAACTAGAAACCAGAAGTATTTTCTAGAATACAGGGAAGTTATGGCTTTTATTTTTAAGACTTACTGTTTTATCAGCATGTGCCTGGTTATCTATTTCCTGAGGAAAAAAACAATAATCAATGTCTGCTGGCATATGTTTTTCATTTAATTAGGAACATAGGACTGGAAAGAACCACCCAGGTCTTCAGGCCCAGTCTTTGATTAAACACTCTTCAAAAATATTGATTAATCAAAGTTGCATAAATATGGTAGGTTTTATAAGACTGCACTCCTCAGCAGGGATTGTAAGTAATCTTCTCCTTTATTTTTTTTTTCTTTCTGTTCATAAAAACAGGAATGGAAGCATTGCCACAGAAATTTTATTAAAAAAACTTGTGCGTTTCAGGCATTTTCTCCATATTCACTATCATTCCGTCCTGGCTAGCATGAAGCATATGTCACAAGATGGGTCCCATCTCTGCTCCTGCAGACTGCCTGACCTGTGTGTATGGAGACTGCAAAACAGGACACGAAAAGGCTTCAGTTTCCCTGTCTTTGCTCTGCATCAACCCAGCTGCCTATTTTTTTCTACCCACCAGTCAATTTTCAGAAAGCATGCAGGAATTTCAGGAAATTTGAGAATTTTGTATCTCTAGTAAATTCAGTTGACATTCAGCTGGCATGAGTACTTAAAAAAAAAGCGCTAAAAACAAGGAAAACAGTTCTGAATTGGTTAGATACTCAGGCAACAAACCAAATATGTGATTCTTTTGTTTATAAAGATTATCTTTTAATATAAAGAGTGACTATTACTGTCAACGTAAAGAACTTCCTGGAGTATTAGACACTTGGTGCTGCTAAAATTATAATTTTAACTAAGGACTAATACCCTTTATTTTTTAACCTGGGATGTATCTGCAAGTGATTTTTGTCATATCAGGAAAAATAAATGAAATTATCAGGAATATTATATTGAATTTACAGTGAAATAAAGTAAAACCATTTCCCTCAGTATATTAGTAACAGGCACTCATTCATTTTGCTTGAACATTCTATAGTTAAAACCAGAAGCATTTACAGGGACTGACCTGTAAAATATGCAAATAATATTTTTCAGTTGCAGCAGCCTAGTATTTCACCAGCTGAAAACTGGATTTGCGACTCTGACAAAACCAGCAGTGCCAGCAGAGGCCCCAGCATGGAGCCTCCCTCCCGTTGTTTCTGCGAACTGCAGCTAAAGCCCTTAAAGGATTATTTTATGCACCCAGCTGCCAAATCTCACTGTGGTTGGTGTTATTTCTTAAAGCTTGGACAACAACAAGCAGTTTAGTTTTAATTTCCAGAAAGGAATCATCATGTTTGTACAGGAAAAGGCTTTGGGACAGCTTCCTGCTCTGAGAGCACTTCACCACAGAGGTAGGACAGAGAGAAGCGCTACTCATGCCTTATATTAAACCCCATTTCAGGGGCATTTCGTCATTTTTTCCCGAATTAGCCTAGTCAAGATGCCCCAAATTCCCCTCATCCCCGCAGGGGCCGCAGCGCCGCCTCACGACGGCGGC